CTCAATGAACCTCTTGAGTTTCCACATTTGTAAAATGGTGACAGTTTTGAGTCCAATGGTCTTCCTTCTACAACCAAATTTCTTGATTGTAGTGTCATGGAATATAAGTTAAAATGTGAGAAAACTAGGTGCGAGGATATAGGAACTCCCTGCACCATTTTCACAACTTTTCTGTGAGTTTTAATTTTTTCAAAATAAAAACTTAAAAAGTAAGGCTGATGGATTGTAATCAATGAAATGAAACAAAACGTATATGAATTGTTGAGTAGAAAACTGATATGCTCTGTAAACCTTCACCCACTTCAAAATAAAAAGTATATCTAGATATTTAAAAAATATTTTTTTAATGAGGCTGAGCTAGTCAACTTATATTTATTTGGGTATTGGTTACAATTCCATTTTTCTATCACAAGTAGTTTTTCAAATATTCAAAGTATTACTACCTAGTTAAAAGATACAGCCTTTTTAATACGTCATAGAATCCTGGTGTGGCGCTGTAGAATAAGCACTGCACTGTTAATAGCAAGTTCGGCAGTTCAAATCAACCAGCCACTCCATGGGAGAAAGATGAGGCCAGTCAGCTTACCTAAGGATTGACAACCGTGGAAATCCTACGGGGTAGGTCTACTCTGTCCTACAGGGTCAGAATTGACTCGAAGGCAATGGTTATCATAGCAGATAAGTTTAAAATTCAACACTATTTTCCTTGAGTCTTAGAATGACAGGTGCTGCTTATGTGTCTTTATAATGCAGGCACACCTCTCTTATGGAGGTCATACATGGTGCTAAATCTTGCATAATCTAGTGACCCTTGGGATTATGTTGCTAGGAGTCTTCTGCTCCTGGTAAATTCTCCCTTAGCAAGCAGGGATGCGGTAAAAACTCAGTCAAAAAAATAGCCCAACATTAAACTCGTCAAAGCTGTTGTAATTACTGCTACTACTACAGAACATACTGGCAACTGGCCATTTGACTTCTAGGAATGGATTCATATTCATATGCCTACACAACAGGTTTCACTTACTAACATATTATTTTGCCTCTGATCATATGTAATGTACAAAGACATGATGCAATATGCAGGGTCCCTTACTCATTTCCTAAATATTCAGGAACATATGTGGGTTGGCATGACTGTCCTCTCACTGATTATATTTGCTGCCAAGGCATTTGCCAGGATATTCTTTTTTTTTTTTTTTTTAGTTTTTATTGTGAATCGAGTGATAGTTTACATGGGGGAACATCAGTTCGTTTCATTGCAATGATTACATCCCCTGCATGTTTCATTATTCAATAGTATTTGTTTATATTTGTTCTGGGTTGGGTTTTTTTTTTTTTTTGGATGTGCACCAAAACACTCAGGAATATACAAGCATTCAAACAGCCAAAGCATTCAAACAGCCAAAGGGCACACCCTACCCCTCAGGCACCAGCACACATCTCCTCTCCCTCCATGAGTCTAGGATCCTCAGACCTCAGATGCTCCGTCTCTCCATGTCATCATCTCTGCCTCCATCTCTTTCCACGATTTTCATGACATAAAACGATCCAAAGTGATGAGGTGGATGGGCAGATGTGATGGGCATTGATCTATGACAATGAAATAATGATAGCATTTCTATCCCACCTGGATAAGAGGTGGTTGGTATCACGCTGCTTCCTTCATGTCTAGAAAAGGAGTGTTCGAGACATCATGACATTGTTGAAGTAGAATAATAACATGAAAATCATCTTGGCTATGAATATCATCACAAAGATTGATTTAGTTTTTAAAATTATGATCATTTTTTAAATCCAAGGGAGGACAGTCATTCACTAAAAATACCAACCTAGAGCAATAACCAACTGTAATATCAAGAAAGTGTCATAAAATTGAGTTAAGCTATATGTACTTGGAAGAGAATTTGGAAACATAAATTGTGCCAGGCAGACAAGACAATTAGGTAACTAACATCTGCATATGAATATAACATTAGACTTTTCTGTGTAGTCAGGAATTGATCTACAGGCTACACTGTCTATGAATTACCAGATATCTATCTGAAGATGATGCAGCCTTCATTACTGAACCCGCAACTTTCATGGAATGATGGGTACAGCACTTCAACACAATGCACAGTCATCCAGCCTGCCCTTCTTGGTTTCATAACATCCTCTCATTATGAAACGAGTATAGGACATTGGTTGTTTTCTTTTGTATAGCACATTGTATCTATTCTGTCTATTATGAAGACAAAGAACCAGCATCTGGTGGAGTACCTACTGCTAATGGAATCCTTACAAAATAAACAAAAGCAAAGGCCTCAATTTCATCAAATGATTGCTTCAGTTATTGAACCACTCTTAAAAGAAGAAACACAGTCCTCAGCTAAATTTCAGTCTTTCAGTTGTATAGATTCAAGGGGAGTAGCAAATGCGGCAGTAACCATTGAGGTATATTATTGTGTGTTATCGACCTGGTTATTGCTAAGTGCATGGTATGTATGTAGACTGTACTAATATCATGTCTACAACACACAATAATATACCTCAGTGGTTAGTGCAGTGCTTGCTACTCCCCTTGAGTCTATACAACTGAAGCACTGAAGTGTATCTGCCATCGTGGAACTCCAATGATCGTGCCATCTAAATAACAAACTAATTGTCTGAAGACTTTTATATTTTCATTAAAACTTGTGAATGTAAGGATTATGGAAATCATCTTTATCCTGTGTGACGGATCATAAAGATATTAACACAATGGGGAAATATTTTTAAAACGTTGGATGCAGTGAGTAGACACCTTATTTATATTACTATCTTATTAATAATCATTAACCATTATCTATGTAGTCTCTGAATCAAACCTTTTTAAAGCTTTAAAGTGGTAATGCAGTATGCAATTTCTTAACAATCATCTGCCATGCTATTTTTCTTCCAAATGTGGCACTCTTTTGTCTTTAAATGGAAGAAATGACTCGAAGTATACCAATGATTAGGAAGATCTCTTTTTGTGTTCTGAGATGTCTTGAAAGATAGTTTACAAACCCTGCAAGAAATGCTATAGTCAAGGGAAATCCATAAATGCAAAGATACTTTACTTCAAGAACTTGGTAACTGAGTTTGACATGCATTCATAGTTTTACACAGACCGTTTTGAAGAACTCTAAAAGCAAACATCTGACTTAATAGGGAAGAAGACAACCTTTCATCAAATTCATCTTTGTAGTGATAGCATGGTTTTTCATTTGTGTCATCTCACTTGAGTTGATTATTATGGGGACTTAAATGAGATGATACAAATGAAAAAATCATGTATCATTATTACAAAGGATAAGCACTAGAGTGCTAACCACAAAGTCAGCAGTTCATTCAAGCCCATCAGCCCCTTCCTTGGAAGCCCTATATGGAGTCGCTATTCAGAACCAACACGATGGCCCACAACAACAACAATAATTGCAGTAGTTATGTAAAGAAGTTATTACTCATCTGTTAGAATTAAAGTAATTCAAGGTTTTATGAGATTAAGTAAGACAAGGTCAGATAGAGAAGTGGGACTGGGACCATACCACAGATCTCCTAAAACAACCCATGTAAAGTGTCTTGTACAGTGTCTGATGCTCTGCTCTGTACGGACTGGATGAAAGATACCTCCAAAGATACCTCCTTTGCTGTTCTCAGCTAGTCCAGTGTTCGTCTATACTTCAAGTTATGGCCCAGTCCTGTGACAGAAGTTTTAAATAATATATAAAATAACGATGGATGAAACTTAATTGATACCAAAATGGTTTCACAAAGGTAGCAATTACCTTTACTTTCATGCTGTTACCATTCTGGAGTTGGAACGATCTGAAAAATAAACTAGTAACCTAGAAATAACTGCAAGTAGTTACTTCAGTTAAAGTCAGTACATGCCATCGAGTTGGGTCTGACTCATAACCACCCTGTAGAGTTTCCAAAGAGCAGCTGGTGGGCTTGAACTTTGAAGTGCTTATCCTACATTTCCAGTAGAATATAAGTCCATAAAACGTTTTCTGAAAAGATGATCACATGAAGGAATATGCCTCTATTAGCCAATGCAGGCATAACTAAACATGTTAATGAGGAAAGATCATGAAGGGAATAAAACAATTATCAAGAAACTGAAAGGGTTCTTGTTAAGCTTATTTCATTTTGACCTATTTCGGGGGGGCGGGAATCTCTAATGCATCGTAGCAAATCTTATTAATTAAACCAGGAATCCATTACCATTTTTTTGTGTACATATTTATCCTTAATTTATGGATAATTATGAATAAAACATGAAATTCAGTGTATTTACTTGTTCTGGAATCATATATGTTCTACTCCTCATAATATCTCTTCTGCCTTCATACACTATTATACTGTGGCATGTAATACTCAGGGCTTTTTTTTGCAAAATATTCTCACAGATCTGAAATTGGTCAATCAGTGGTCCAGGAAGAATATTATGTGAGCCTAGATTTGCAGTGATATGTTAAAGTTAAAGGTTCAAAATATGCTTTAACTAAAAAACTTGAAAACGCCATAAATTTTTTCCTGGATAGTGTAATTTGCTATTTATACTATCTCAGCCTGGCTCCATTTTATGAAAACATTCTGGCCCGTCCCAAGTGTATTTTGATAGATTGGATAATAAGCTAAAGATCTTCTCTACATTTTATGGGATTTACGATTGCTGTATTCAAATTCTAAAATGCATACCAAAAATAAATAAGTAAAAAGAAATCAAGGTAAAGCTGAAGTACCTCACTCCTACATAAATTCTTGAATTTTCATTCTTTCTGTGTCTACTGATAAGTTGACTTTGGTGGGGGTGAGTTTAGTTTTACAAACACAAAAGCTATATCTTATTTTCAACACCAAGAAAGAAAATAAACAGTACTCACCTGTTCCGTGGCACCAAAAATTCTACTCATTTCAAAGCACATCATGTATCAAAATAGATAGAAATCAACAAACTTAAAATTCAACGTTATGTACATTCAGACGGGACTCACCTTCAGAGAATCAAAACAGGCCATTACACGACCATTTTCCACATGGCAAACTCTTGGTGGATGAGCAAACTTGCAATCAGCATCACCTCGAGAGCAAGTTCCTCTCTGAAATTCTCTACAGACTTCTAGAGTCAGCCACTTGGTATCACGAACCAGGGTAACATTGACAGTCGCCATATTGGAATCAAGTTAAAATCAAGTGCACACTCTTCAGGATAGTATCACTGATGATTGCTAAAAAGTGAAAAAATGAACTCAAGCTAAAGGTGAAGAGAGAACAGGTTGCTTTGGTAAACTTTCTATTTGTTAGCACTTAGGGGTCCATTTAAGTCAAATCCAATCTTGTTGTTGTTATGCGCCATGGAGTCGGTTCCGACTCTTAGCGACCCTGTACAAGGTTTCCGAGGCTATAAATCTTTACGGAAGCAGAAAGCCTCATCTTTCTCCCATGGAACAACTGGTAGTTTCGAACTGCTGACCGTGAGATTAGCAGCCCGATTTGTAACCACTACGCTATCAGAGCTCCTTAAATCCAATCTAGTCAAACAAAAAAGCCAGTAATGAAATGAAAATTGTATGAGAATAATTAAAAATCAAATAAGAGACCAGCTCCTAAAAAGGCATTGGTAAAGGTTAAGATATTTAGCGCTGTAGTTGGTTCCTCTGCCGAAGTTACTTCAAATAACTGGCAGGCTTTCAAAAGAATTCTGAGCACTCCAGTCTCTGGTTTCAATTATTTCTGCAAAAAGCATATGCTGCTGGTTGCCCTTTCATTTGTAGAATGGTCTCAGATCATGGGGAGAATAGTTTTCTCCCTGTTTCTTGGCTTTAAAGATTAATATTGGTCAGAATGTTGCAACTGCTTGCCAATAACTAAAAACAAAAAAAAAAGTCGTGCTGCCAAAAATCAGGGAAAGGAAACGTGATTTTAAAAATTGAGAATCAATGAAAAAAGCCTGGACAAGCTACTGACAGTGAACTTACAAGCACAGTAAGTTGGTTTGTTGGTTGGTTGGTTGGTTGGCTGGTTGATTGGGGATATGGCAGGGAGAAGGGTTGATTGAAAAGCAGCTCTAAAGCAGAATCCAAGCAGCAGTTTCCAGAAAAGGCACTTTTCAGAAACCTACAAGAAAACAAAATTTGGAAAATTAGCTAAAATAGTATACTGCTTCTGTTTCAAGCTCTAACTATGGAAAAGAAGTACCTAGGTCGTATTAAAAACAGGAAGCATCTTGATACTGATAGTGCAACATAGTACAGTCACCTACAGTCAATAAAAAGGGAATTTCTCAACGTAGAATTGAGCATAATAAAATGAAGGGACCACTTAAGATTTATTGCTGCAGTAAAAGACTGGGAAAGTCAATTAAGAAAAAACAAGATAGTTTCATGCTTGTTTGTGGCAGAAATTCATTCTGGGGTCCACTGCACAGAAAATACCATAGCCTAATGTGACAGCCCCTAATGTGTTAATGATTCCCTTGTATGTTGCCAGTTTTTAAAGCCTACCAGAGACTTGTCTTTAAACTGGCTTTATGAAGTGCCTTAGAAGAAAGCCCTGGTGATCTGCTTTCAAATGGTCAGAACTTTGAAAACCCAATGGAACTCAACTCTGCACACATGGGGTCACCATGAGTCAGAACCGATTTGATGGCAATTGTTGGTGGTGGTGTTAAATGCCGTTGAATCGGTTCTGACTCATAGTGAACCTGTATAAGGTTTCCAAGGAGCAGCTGATGAGTTTGAACCCATGATCTTGTGGTTCAAACCAACCTTGTGGTCCAGTGTTTAATTCCACACAGCCACACCAGTATTCCTTGATGGCAATAGGGTTGTGTTCATTTGTTTGTTAATTTTACTATGGTCTTATCGAAAGCTTGATTATCTACTCTCAAAATCCAGAAAACAGAGTTGAAGTTGCTCTGACAGATAACTCTGTATGTGTGCTAGAAACGTAATTGATGAGCACCTGAAATGGTCCTAACACAACTAACTAGAGATGCACTGCATACGAGGTATGGTACAGGAAGGAAATGTAGAACGTGTTTCAGACCAAGAAAAAAATTCCTTTGAAAAGATACTGGACTTTTCTTCAGTGTCTGCTCTCTAAGTCTCCACAAAGGGAAATTTGAACAACTCAAAAGTAAGTTTCAACATATATGAATGAGTGAGACAGAAAGCATTGTTATTTCCCTTTAAGATTTGCAATTTTACCCAATGCCAACAAGCAACAATCTCAAGCAACATAGCAGAGAAGGTATGAGAAAGATCAATTGACTAGCATGATCAAATGAACTGAGGTAATGGGGATTTCCCAAAGCAAAAAATAAACTCAGCTCTGATTATCAGACAAATTAACTAATTATTATGTTCATTATGAAAACACACCAAAAGTTATTGGAAACATTTTAGTTCATTTATAGACAATAACTTTATTAACTTTACAGAATGTAAATTTTGCATTCAAGAAGAAACTCAGTATCACTTGATTGTTCAGGTATCATTGGGAAACTAAACCTCTAGAAAATTCAAGCAAGCTTATCTTTCCATTCAAGCGCAATGAACATTTTTGATTTAGCCATTATTCGTGGAGATCTTTCTAAAGTGCATTGTATATTCTTTGCCTTCTATAAAATAACAACAACGACAACTCAAAAAAAAACAAAAAAAAACAAAACCCAGAGCATAATTTAGCTTCTGGTTGAAGACTTAAGGTCATGAATGTTCTGCAAAGTAGTATAGCTTGTCTTTTTTCATGGTAGCCTGTTAATTGTCATGTTTCCTATTGCCACAATATCTGCTATAGTGAACTGTCCAGCTCCTTTCCTGGGCAAACTGCATGGCTTTCCTGATGAAGTACTATGATGGCTCTTACTGTTCTGGAATTCTCTTGCATTCCATTCAATGTGGGACTGGATTCTAGAAGGTTCAGGCTGTCAGATAAACGACCTCCAGAAAAATATCACAAATACAGATTAAAAAAAAACAAACCTGATATAGCAAGTAAAAACCAGACTGGGATACTACTTCGTACACACTAAGATGGCTATAATCAGAAAGAGAGAGAAACACAGACATTGGCAAGAATATGGTAGCATTAGAATCCACATATACTGCCACTGGTGTAAACTGAAAATGGAATAGCTGCTTTAGAAAATCGTCTGGCAGTTTCTCAACTGTTTAGACACAGAGTTACTTACTATTTGACCCAGAAATTTCACTCCTAGATGAAATAAAAACACATATCCACACACACACACAAAAATGCTGATAAATGTTCATCTCAATATTTTTAATAATAACCTCAAATAAGAAAAGAAAAAATTCACACTAACAGATGAGCTGACAAATAAAATGCAGTCTATCTAAACAATAGAATATTATTTCACTATAAAGAGTGACAAAGTACTTGATGCATGCTACCACACAAACAACAGGAGCCCTGGTGGTATTGTGATTGAAGCATTTGGCTATTAATTGAAAGGTTGGCAAGTTGAACCCACCAGCTGCCTGAAGGAGAAAGATGTGGCAATCTGCTTACGTCACGGTTACAGCCTTGGAAACCCTATGGGGGCAGTTCTACTCTGTCCTACAGCATCATCAAGATTCAGAATCAACTTAATTTCAGGGGTTTTGTTTTGTTTTGTTTTGTTGGTAAGTGAAAGAAGCGTGACAACAAAAGTCACATATTATATGATTGCTTTCATCTGAAATATAAACATAGGCAAATCCATAGAGAAAGAGATTATGGCTACTTCAGGCTGAGGAGAACGGAGGGCATTGGGGAGTGATGAAAATGTTC